CCCCATGCTAATTCAAAGCTTCCGCCAGCTTCCGCAATCTACCTTCAGAGAATCGGAAGGTCCAAAAAAAAATGCCCCCCCGAGCATGGTCCTCGAATTTCCAGCCCCATGCCGTTTGGCACAGGGCTGGAGTTTCGAGAACCACGCTCGGGGGGGCATTTTTTGTTGTGGAGAGGCTGGCTGAATGATGGCATAGCTTAAGAGGGTAAGTAGATAGGGAGAGTGAGAGTCACAGAGCGAGAGAGAGAGAGAGTGAGAGAGAAGAGAGAGCAAGAAAGAGAAGATAAGGAGAATGATGAAGAGAAGGGTTCGAAAAGCCATAAAACCCCTCTGGAACCCCGAGGGGCTCCACAATCCCCCAGCCTCCCAAAGTGGGGGGGGGGCTTCTGCGGCCAAAAAAACCAACGAATCGACACCGATTGTTTAACCACCCTGTGGTGTTGGGTTCTCGTTTTGAAGAGACAGCGCCCCGCGTTCACTCCTCCCGCTGCCCCCTCTCTTCCCCTCTCATCGTCATCGTCATCATCATCATCATCATCATCATCGTCATCATCATCATCATCATCATCATCATCAGCATCATCATCATCATCCTCATCATCATCATCAGCATCATCAGCATCATCATCATCATCGTCATCGTTATCGTTATCGTCACTATCATCATCATCGTCATCATCATCGTCGTCATCATCATCGTCGACTTCATCATCGGCATCATTGTCATCATCACCATCGTCGCCATCATCATCGCCGTTATCGTCACCATCATCGACACAAATTTCGGCACACCCCTCACACTTTCGTGGCCCCATAGGGAGCTCCGCCGAAGGCCCCAGTGGCAGCGCCCGCATGCGGTTCCACCCCATTGCAGCACACCCCTCACACGTTTCGTGGCCCCAAAGGGAGCTCCACCGAAGGCCCCAACGGCAGCGCCCGCATGCGGTTCCACCCCCATTTCGGCACACCCCTCACACGCTTCGTGGCCCCTTAGGGAGCTCCACCGAAGGCCCCAGCGGCAGCGCCCGCATGCGGTTCCACCCCCATTACAGCACACCCCTCACACGCTTCGTGGCCCCAAAGGGAGCTCCACCAAAGGCCCCAGCGGCAGCGCCCGCATGCGGCGGTTCCACCCCTCCATTTCGGCACACCCCTCACACGTTTCGTGGCCCCAAAGGGAACTCCACCGAAGGCCCCAGCGGCAGCGCCCGCATGCGGTTCCACCACCATGTCGGCACACCCCTCACACTTTTCGTGGCCCCATAGGGAGCTCCGCCGAAGGCCTCAGTGGCAGCGCCCGCATGCGGTTCCACCCCATTACAGCACACCCCTCACACGTTCCGTGGCCCCATAGGAAGCTCCACTGAAGGCCCCAACGGCAGCGCCCGCATGCGGTTCCACCCCCATTTCGGCACACGTCCCATACTTTTCGTGGCCCCAAGGGAGCTCCTCCGAAGGCCCCAGCGGCAGCGCCCGCACGCAATTCCACCCCCATTCGGCACACCCCTCACACGCTTCGTGGCCCCATGGGAGCTCCATCGAAGGCCCCAGTGGCTGCGTTCGAATGCGGTTCCACCCCCCTTTTCGGCACACGCCTCACACGCTTCGTGGCCCCATAGGGAGCTCCACCGAAAGCCCCAAAGGCTGCGTTCGCATGCGGTTCCGCCCCTATGTCGGCACACCACTCACACGTTTCGTGGCCCCATAGGGAGCTCCACCGAAGGCGCCAGTGGCTGCGTTCGCATGCGGTTCCACCCAACATTTTGGCGCACCCCTCGCACGTTTCGTGGCCGGAGGCGGCACCACCGAAGGCCGCAGCGGCAGGGTCCGCATGTCGGTGCCACCCCATTTCTGCACACCCCATCGCACGCTTCGTGGTCCTATAGGGAGCTCCACCGAAGGCCCCAGTGTCAAGGTTCACATGGCGGCGCCGTGCCGATGTCGGGACGCCCCTCGCGCAGATCGCACCCCAAAGGGATCGTCACAAATGGCTTCTGTGGACGGAGGCTCCTGGGGATCTCCAGGCAGTTCGGATCAGGATGAGGGAGGTTAAGTAGGATGATGAGGATGATGATGATGATGATGATGATGATGATGATGATGATGATGATGATGATGATGATGATGATGCTGATGCTGATGCTGATGCTGACGCTGACGCTGATGATTATGATGACGATGATGATAATGATGATGACCAGCAGGACAAACAAATACGATGATGAGGGGGGGGATGAGGCTCAGGGGGACGAATAGGCCGCGCCTCCGCACCAGGGTGAGGATACAAGCGGGAGGGCGGGCGCAGGGTTCTCTTTCTCTCCCTCCAACTCCTCTCCAGTGCTGCGTTTGTATCCTCCCCCGTCCTCCTCTTCCTTCTCCTCCTCCTCCTCGTCCTGTTTGCCCGAGTAGTGGATATGTATATGGCAATTGAGTCCATTTTGCGCTGACGCCATCCGTTTTAAGTAATCCGAACCACCGCGGCGCGTGGCCTGGCCCCACCCGGCGTCTAGGATTACTAAACGATGGGGTGTCCTCAGGGGCATGGTCTTGAACCGGACATGTTCCGACAAGCCATACACATTCGGCACACCCCTCATACGGTTCGTGGATTCGTGGCCCCATAGGGAGCGCCACCGAAGAAGATATTCACAATGGCGGTACTCACAACTGCATATGGTTGGTTCCTTCGCCTGGATAAATTTCGGGGGGCGGCATCATCTAGATTTGGGGGATTAGTTGGAAGGAAGGCCAGCGCTGCAGCGGAACACGATTCGGAACGAGCGGAAGCGCGGAAATGAAGCCACCGCTGCAGCGGGAGCGCGATTCGGAACGAGCGGAAGCACGAAAATGAGGCCAGCGCTTCTGCGGGAGTAACACTTCTGGAACAAAAAAACAAGGAAAAAGCCTTGTCCAGGGATTCCTGTGTAAAAAAATACGCGGAGGGAGGCCGCATATCTTCCTGACGTCATCAGGGGAGCGAGGAGAGTAGTACTCCTATAGTATAATTTTGCGGGCGACGAGACGCAACATCGAGAGCTGTGGGCACGCGCTGGACAGCGAAGGGTGAGATCTGGCAGTGGAGGCGGAGGGAGGGAGGGAGGAAGGGAGGAAGGGAGGGAGGGAGGGAGGAGGAGGAGGAGGGGGAGGAGGAGGAGGAGGAGGAGCAGGAGGAGGGACGAGGAGGAGGAGGAGGAGGAGGAGGAGGAGGAGGAGGAGGAGGAGGAGGAGGAGGAGGAGGAGGGGGGAGGAGGGAGGGAGGAAGGGAGGGAGGCTGGGCTGCGGTGTGTCGTCGTCGGTGCACTCGTGATCAGGGGTGGGCGCCGTCGTCCGCAGCAAAGAACTCGACGAACGATTCACGATTTGGGAACGTCAGCGAGCGCTTCCACGGCATAGTTCTGGTCATCGGCCCGTTTGGCTGAATGCGCTTGAGGCCTGTTGTCGCTGTGATATACTCAGGGGCGCGCAAAAACCTTGTAAACAAATCGTGGGAGGCCTCCGTTAGAACGAGTGAAGGTTACTAAGCCCGATCAGGGGGTCCCGGGAAAGGTCCCGCCGTAAGGGTTGGTGGCACCGGTCGGTCACAGTAGTAAGATGACAACTAAGACCTACACAGGTCCTGGCCAGACCCATCTGGGACCCAGGAACGGTACATCCTGGCTGGGGCAGGAAGGCATATACCCAATACAGCTATGTTCGGTTCAGGACTGGCCTGGCTACGGCCAGGACTGTCCTGGCTTGGGATGCCTACCTTGAAGGATTCGATTTACATAAATTCGGCCCGAGGGGGTTAGATTCGATCCACATTGAATAGCAGCTTGATCGGCCTCCCCCCGCCACGAGCGACACTTCCCGAGTGGGCACACTTCAATGGAGACCTCCCAGATGGGGTCCGAGTAGATGGGGTCGGAGGAACGCGACGCACCGCCGATGCATTACCGATACATCGGCGATGCATCGGCGATGCGTGTCGGCGACGAAGGCGTGGAGAGCGTTGGGCTCCACATCGAGCCACAGCGCCGATGCATCGGCGGTGCGGCGCGATCCTCCGAACCCATCCCGGAGGCACAGAGTGCTTCACGACGAGAGTGCGACGCGAGGGTGGCGGGGAGATCCAGAACTTGGCTTAGGTCGGGCATGTCCTCCCACAGGGGGGTGTTGGAAAAGAGAGACCAAACCAAAAACTGTCAAAAAATACCCTAAAAATAATCAAAAGTAGTCAGAACATCGTCCCCAGAGAGGGGCATGCCCGACTTGCGGCGAAGGGGGCCAGGGAGATCCAGAGAACCTGGCTGATACGTTTCCTAAAGGGACGCCAGCGAAAGGGACTTCTGAGACCGCGGCGTTGCATCTGAGACTCCGGCAAGTGCGAGTGAGAGCGTCGTGCGGCGACCTCGTGGGCGAAGCCGATCGGACTTGAAAGATCGGCATCGCCCGTCTCAAAAGTCCCTTTCCCTGGGGCCCCATTCGAAACCGCATGATTGGCGCTCCCTTGCAAGTGGCCCGCGCGGCGCGGCGAAGGTGGGGAAACCAAAAGGTACCGATACCGCCACTCCCTGGACCTCTCCAGGGGTGAGTTCTGATCAGGACTTCGAGGCGAATCCAGCGGTGGCGACGACGGAGGCCCAGGAGGCCCAAAAAGGGGAACACGATGGGAGGGTAGAGTATGGGTACCTTGCACGGGTTCCCCCAGGGCCGTAGGCGACCCGAGGAGCAGGAGGAGGAGGAAGAAGAGGAGGGCGTGGAGGACCGGAAGGGGAGGAGGAGATGGAGGAAGAGGATGAGGATGAGGAGGAGGAGAGGGAGGAGGAGGAGGAGGAGGAGGAGGAGGAGGAGGGAGGAGGAGGAGTAGGAGGAGGAGGAGGAGGACGGGTCGCCTAAGCCCTCCAGAGAAACCCTCTAGGGTACTTTTTTCCTTCTTTCCTTTGAGAGGGGGGGCGGACAGATCCAGAGAGAACTCGGCGCTCCCCCGCGCGCGTGGGGCCCGCGCGGCGCGGGGCCGCCGAAGGCAGGAGGCGCGCCGCCGAGCTTGCCGCCGCCGAACTTGCCCTTGCCCTTGCCCTTGCCCCGGCCTTTGCCTGGCTGCCGGGCTGGGGGGGGAGTTGAGCAGGGACCGACCGTCCCGGCATTCCTGTAGGCTTGTCACGACAAGTTCTCAGAACCCATAAAAGCCCGATGTGCTAAAACAAAGCAGTCCCAGCCAGAAGTGTTCCAAGAACACTTCGTGCAGACCACAGAAGGCTCTTGGAACATTCTCTGGCGGGCCTATAGGCAAGCCAGGACGCTTCGCCACTGCTCGAGGGAGAGCCCACGCCACGAATAGGTGTACATGTTGCGTCGGCGGCTAGGCAGAGCCACTGCGCTGGCGGAAGAGCAACTGTTGGGCGAACAGATACGAACCAAGCCGCAGTGCACGGGGGGAAGAGGAGGAGCGCCCGGCGACGGCGGGAGGGAGGAAGAGGCAAGGCTTAGGTCGGGCATGTCCTCGTACAGGGGGACCTTGGACGAAAATTGAAAAATCGTCCCAATACTTGTTTTTTACTATTTTTGAATAACTCCTCCTGTAGAGGGGCAGGCCCGACTTAAGGCAAGGCCGGCTCACAGCGGGGCCAGGCGGCGGCGGGGGGGGCCGCGCACAGACACCCCCCTGCGAATGCTGCAGGTGCTTGCCCGTGTATCGAATCGCTGGCTCCAGGTTGTGATGTATACACCGCCACCCTCCCCTGAGGCCCAGGAACAATCCAGCGGAGGGTGTCTGCGAATACATATATATATATATAGATATATATAGTTGGTCGCCCCCCATGAGAATGACGATGAAAAGGACGCCCCCAATGAGGGGGAGGAGAAACCATGAGGATGAAGAGGAACAGGAGGAAGAAGACAAGGACGCGGAGGGGGGAACCACCGCTCCTCCCCTTCACTCCGCCGTTTGGGGATGCTGGGGGGGCAAGCCTATACGTATGTGTATATATATATATATACCCTGCCCCACCTTTTTGCGTGCGGACACGCCAATGGTCAGAGTAGGCTAGGCCCCCCTCAAACCCCCCAGCTACTGTACGCATCGGGATGCAAGGGTACCCTACGCCACGCATTTCCTAGGCGGCAAGCACGCGGCGCCTACCGCACCGCGCGCTTGCCACCTAAGGCGTGCGAGGTGGTGCTCCACCGTTCGCATACAGCAATCTGGGGAGGGGGCCTACGCTATCTTCTGGGCTACGGCACCAGCAGAAAGCGTGCCTCAACACGGAAGGGGTGGACCGCGGGTGGGAGCCCAAACAGGCTACGGACGTGTTGGGGCGGCGCGTCCTGGCCAAAGGGGGGAAGACGGGTATACGCATACAGGGAACCAGTATACGGACATACCCTGCCCCACCTTTTTGCGTGCGGACACGCCAATGGTCAGAGTAGGCTAGACCCCCCTCAAACCCCCCAGCTACTGTACGCATCGGGATGCAAGGGTACCCTACGCCACGCATTTCCTAGGCGGCAAGCACGCGGCGCCTACCGCACCGCGCGCTTGCCACCTAAGGCGTGCGAGGTGGTGCTCCACCGTTCGCATACAGCAATCTGGGGAGGGGGCCTACGCTATCTAACACCCCCACCTACTGGCCTTAAGGCTACGTAGGCCGTCCGTGTTTAACTCCCCCCCCCCCCTGAAAATGGCATATTTATGCCGGTCCTTAACTCGGGGGTGTGCTGGGGGGCAAACCACAGGACTGCCTGGGAGGTCTGGACACGCCACCCGCGCCAGGCCACAGGCCTGACGCGGGGCAGGCACCGCACAGGGCGGCCCTAGGCGTGCCAGACCCCCCCCCAGCAGCCCCTTGGTTTGGCCCCCCAGCACACTCCCCCACTCCACGCCCTTCTCCAGCCCTTGCCCTCCACACGGCACGGCAGCCTTTTCTGGGGTCCAAGGACCGTGAGGACGGTACCCAGGAGGGGGACAACACTCTGCAGCCGCCAGAGCGGCGCGGCAACGCCCAAAGGGCAGGCCGCGCAGAGTGTTATCCCCCCCCTGGGTCCCCTTCTCACGGCCGCTGGGCCCCGAAAGGGTTGGCACGTTCGAGGAGGAGGCGACGGGGGGAGGCGACGGGAGGAGGTGACACGAAGCGCGAAGGAGGTGAGACGGGCGTGGACCCCAAACAGAGAACGCCCCGCACAACGGGCGGGCCCAGGGGCCCCAGGAAACCAGGACCAGCGAGAGAAAGAGAGAGAGCCAGGCGGCCCCACGGCGGGAGGGCGGTTGCCTTCGCCGCAGCGAAGACAAACGCCCGAATTTTGGCAAGCACTGTAGGGCGCAAGCGGTGGCCTTTTACAGTGGCCAGCTGCAGGAGCCGCAGTCCTCGCGCAACGGCGCGGGCTGCCCTGCCCCCGGGCTGGCGGGCACTGAGCTGGCCACCGCGCCCTCGATGCACAGGCGCGCGGTGGAGAGCCGCGCACCTGCACCAAGGCCGCGGCCTGCAATCCGCAGGAGCACCACGGCCATCCTGCCGCGGACGACGACTGCCTCCGCGCAGTCCTTGCCAGCCGTGGTCTTGGACGAGCTGATGCGGACCACGAACAGCTCGTCGACGATGTCGCGGTCGACGATGTCGCTCACCGTCAGGGCGGCCGCGTCGAAAGCGCCTGCAGCGCAAGCGATCCCCGCCATGGCCGCGACGGCCTGGGTCGTGAGCAGCAGCGCCCTGGGCGCTGGCCCATGCTGCCTCCATGCCCTGAGGAGAGTCCCGCTCAGGCCAGGGTGTCGCCTCAGGCGAGGCGTTGCGAAGCACACCTCTGCCAGCGTGTTGCTGGCGGCCGCGCTGCCCGCACCAGAGGCCCACAGGTCCTCGAGGTACTCCGCGACGAGGGCGTCGGCGTCCTCGGGGTCGCCGCGCAAAGCGTCCGCCCCCGCCTGCTCAGCTCCGAAGTGGGCCAGCAGGGCCCGCGGAGCCCGCCCGTAGCGCCGCCGCGTCTCCGCCGACACTGTCAGGGAAGAGAGAGTCTGGCAGCGCGTCCCGCGGCGCCTCACGGGCACGGGCCTGCGGTGAACGGCCGCGCGCGCGGCACGGGTCGCCCTCGCCTCCTGGGCCCCGAGCCACGCGGGGTTGTCCTCCGAGACCACGTAGCCGATCAGTGGGTACATGTCGGCCGCCACGACGACGGCCATCCGGCGCATCAGGATGGGCTGGAGCTTCCTGCTGCTGCTGCGGCCCCTCGTCACGATGGCCGCGACCACCTGGCGGTCGACGAGGTGCAAGAACCTGCCCCCGTGCTGCACGACCTTGCGGGCGCGCCACCTGATCGCCGACGTGGCCGCCTTCAGCTCTCTCACGTTTATGTGGGTGGAGTTCCGCCTGGGCCACGCCATGCTGACCACCACGCGCCACTTCCACACAAACGGGCCCAGGCTCGTCCTCGGCCAACCTCGCGGGCGGTAGGGGACGCCGTAGTCCAGCCTGACGTCCGACCCGCCCTTCTCCGTGCGGCTGAGGTAGTGCAGGACCAGCTGCCTCGCCTCCGCGGTGTCCGGCTCCCCTGGCTCCGTGACGAAGGCCCCCGCCTGGTCCCACGTCGCCTGGCACTCGCGGACGGGGGGCACCTCTTCTATCGACAGCTCCCTGTCCAGCGCGCCGCGGCGGTGCAGGAGTTGCTGGCGCAACCATGCCACGTCGTGAATACTGAAGCTGTTGCCGAGGAGGAAGGCCCTGGCGTCGAAGGCGCCCTGAGGGTTCGAGCCCTGGGTGGCTAGGGAGGTGTACCTCGGTCTCCCTGGCCAAGAGCCGCCCTCGTCCTCCCACGCGAGGTCCATAAGCGGGACGCCAGGGCCCACCAGCTCGTCGTAGACCCCGCGGTCGGTCAGCCGAAGAGGCGCCGATGAGGTGACGCCCCAGCTCGTCCAGAACAGGCGCGGCCTGCGGCACGGCACGAACACCGACGAGCGCACCAGCGTCGGTCTCACCTGCAGCGCCTCCGAGACCAGCTCCACGTTGACGCTGGACATGCTGGCCATGTTCTCCACGAACCAAACGAGCTTATCCCTGAAGACGGCGGCGAGGAGAGCCAGGATACGCGGCACCTCGTGGAACAGCGAGGACTCCCTACCGCTGAGGCCGCGCCCGCCGACGTCGAGGCGTGACAGGTGATGGCAGGGGCTGCCCGCAGCGACCGCCACGGGGTCGACGAGGCCGCCGAACCCCCCGAACAGGTCCCGCACCGTCTCGCTGCCCACGCGGGTGACGTCGCCCCAGCCGATGACACCTGGCCAGCGGAGCCTGACAACGCGCCTCGCCTTGGCGTCCGTCTCGGCCGCGACGTAGGCCGCGATGCGGAAGGGCAGCCTCGAGAAGGCGACGGCGAGGCCTCCGATGCCGTCGAACAGGCCGATGAGCAGCACCGACAACACCCTGCGGACTGCCCTGGCGGGGACGCGTGGGTTGGCTGCCGCCCACGGTCGGGCGGGATCCTCGGCCATGTCGAGGAGCCTGGCCCCTATCCCCAGCTGGTCGGGGACCGTCCTCGGCACCTGCAAGGCGGCGGCGACATCCTCGCGCAGGCCGGCCGACGTGCACACGCCGCCGCCCATCTCCAACGCGTCCAAGGACGTGACCATGCCGTCGATGCGCGCCCGCAGCGAGGAGGCGGCCAGCGGCAGGACCATCACGCCCATGAGGAGATCCTCCACCATCTCCGCGCCCAGGTAAGCCTCCTGCGCTGAGGACGCAGCCAGCGCCCAGACGGAGTTCAGGACCCCGAAGAGCGGCCGCCTGAACTCGAGGACCCTCGCGAGCATGCCGAGGGCCGCCATGGCAACGCGCCGCGGGACCAGGCGCCGCGGCACCGCGGCCAAGCAAAGGCCCGCAGTGGCAAGCGCCTTGGAGGCGGGGGCCGCGAGGCGCCCGCCGACGCCGTCGACGTCCGCGCCCATGCGCTTGACCCTCAGCTGCCTGCAGTGCGCCTTCTCGGCCGAAAAGGAGGCGCTCGCCCTCTCGCAGCCGGCGCGGACCTGCAGCTGGAGGTCGCTCGGGGCCCCTACGAGCTTGCAGGCCAAACCTCCTCGACGATCTCCGGCGCATCGAAGTCGTCGATGTAG